AATAAATATGTTATTCACACAATTTGATAAACAAAACTGTTTATTTTTATATCAAAAAACTAATAATTACCAAAAATGGAGCTTGAATGTGTATGTGACGTTTTTCAGAAAAAGACTGATATTACATTATTTCCCTCATCTACCAAAGATGAATTGTGTTCTTTATCACAATTTAATTTGAAACCATCGAATATTCGAGAATTGAGAATGAAAGTGGACACACCAATTATGTGGGTAGTGAAAAACCCTACAAACGAAAACGAATTTTTATCATGTGTCAATAACAATATTAAAGAGGGTCTTATTAGTCTTCTTGGAACTCAGATAAATACTTCGTTAATACAAGAAGTTTAAAAAATGCTTTTTATTTTATTGAACACATTCAAATTCAAATTTATAAAGCTTCACATACCAGAAGTGATGGACCAAAACAACAGTTTGTGTGTAAATTCAAGAATTGTCATTCTTGTATTTATATTTTCCTGATTAACGGTATATGTGAAGCTATTTATTTCAATCCATGGCATCAAGGACACAATGAAAACACAATCAAAAAGGGTATACATGATACGGTTCCAATTGAAATGAAACAGAAAATTGTTGATGATGCTACTAATGGCATATGCGCAGCACAATCACGTCTCAATAACAACATCAAACTCAAAGCACAAATATTCTATAGATTGAGAACCAAGTCTAACAAGTACAATACAAAGAAGCAAACACAAAGTTTACGTCAATACTTTGAGTCACTCAATGACTTTACCACCAAAATTTATACAGATCACGAAAACCGTTTTGTTTGTTGCTTTTGTGTGACTATGTTGTCTCTTAAAGAATATGATGGTTCTTGTCTTGCTATAGATGATACTCACTGTACTAACAAATTTGGTTTGATATTGTTTGCGGCAGTATTCAAAAAGAATGACAAAACGCAACTATTGTGTTTTGGATTTTTACACGACGCTTCAAAAAATTCATTCGTTTTATTCTTACAAAATCTCAAAGAAGAATTCATAATAAAACAAAAAATACCTCTTGGGTTTTCTGCTAATAGATCGGAGTCTCAATATTCAGCAGTTAAAAAAGTATTTGGTCAAAATACAATAATTAGACATTGTTACTTTCACATCGGAAGAAATTTAAAAAAACATTTCTCGCAAAAAGAGGAATTAATTAGTTTATTTTTCGGGATGTTTGAAGAAAATGCAAATTTGTTAAAAGCTGAAGCTCTTTATTTAAAAAAATTAATAGAATTAATGGAACTTAATACAGAATTTACACAGGACGAGTATATGGACTTTCTCACAACAGCGATTGCCACTAAAAAGTTTCCCACTCAAAATATTGAGAAACCATCTCGAAAGTTCAAAGTGTTAAAAACACTCTTCGATCTCAAAGAGACATACCTTCCATCTCAAGTTAATATTAACCTATTTCCCAAAACAAACATAGTCGAGGCATTTTTTTCTCATGCAACACACGCATTTTATGCATCAGTACCAACGTTTGAAGTTGCTGCTAAATCCTTTGTTAACTACACCAGGCAATTACATATCAACGCAAAACCATTTAGTGATACTGAGAGTAGTGCACTTTCCAATCTCATCACCACCGAATTGTTGTGGAAACTTTCACCAGTCACAATAAAGAATCTTCTATCGAATTATAAAATGTTTCTAGCCATTGAACACCGTGAAATTGAAAACGGGTGTTGTTGTACTTGTTTAGTTTATCACACGACTGGTGTTCCATGTTTTCACGTGATATATTGGAGAACTCTGGGTATTAACAATTATCAAGATGACGCGCGCCCTCCTGGTTATTTCAAAGATATAAATGGTCTGGTCTGACCGCTGGTTTTTTCTCGAAGTGAATTACCACTTTTTGATGAAAAAAATTTTTAGAATCTTTGATATGTGATGACAACTTTGAAGTGAAACACACAGTAGAAACTTTGAGTAAACATGATGACATGTCTAAAAGTGTCTTAATTGGCATTTTGAACGAAGCAAGTCAAAAACTCAATAGAAAAACGATATTCGAAACAACAACAAAATTTGCAGAAAAATTTTAATGATCAAATCAGATGACAATCACATGTATGACACCGATGAAATTGAAGATCCAAAATATATAAAATGCAAAGGGAAAAAAAGAACAGCTACATTCAAACTTGTCAATAAATCTCTTGAGTATAAAAACAGAAGTTGAAAAATACGAAGTGAGAAAAAGTCAAAAAAATACGATTATTAATTAATTTGCATTTTATCAATTATGTTTATTAGAAATATAAATTAAAAAACGAAACAAAAAATATTAATTCACAGTTTTGTGTTATTTGTTTATTCGTTATTCATATTTTCATAATAATTGTTTTATTGAAATCAATTATCTAAATCAGTAACAGAATAAACAGTTTTGTTTATCAAATTGTGTGAATAACATATTTATTATATTTTAACTACAAATGAATAATAACAAATACTGTATTAAATTTATACTTAAATTATAAATTTCATGTTTAGTAAACATCACGATATTTTTTGCAATTTTTCATTCATTAATTTTTCTTTTTTTCAACAAAAAAGTGAAAAAAATATAACCATTATCATTAATAAAATTATTTATAATAATTGTAATTAATTTTACTTTTTTATGGTATATTTTATTAATAAATTATTAAAAATAAAATGTAGATGTGTCGGGTTCGGGTTTAAAAAATATTCATCTGTATTCTAATACATTATTATTATATATATCCTAAAAAATATATAATAAAATCAAAATTAAATGTTAATCATTTAAAATAATAACTCAACACAGAGAGCAAGAATAGCAAACATTTTAAATGAATTATAAAAATAACATGCGAATTTTTGTTTACAAATAAACTTTTAGAAACATCAGAATTCTTAGTATAAATAACATATTTTACTGATTTTTTGATGCATTTGTCAAAGTCATATATTTCAGTAATAAAATCGGGATAAGCATCCCCGTGCAGTCTTCTGTGTTGTACGATGTCAATGTAAGTTTTCCATTTGATATTTTTTGCTTTAGTCGAAGAAGTAGTCTATGATGTTAAACATTTTTATATAGATATTATATTTATGTGGGCCTCTTTGTCAGTGAATTTACAATCAAAGTTATAATTATAATGATCAACAATGTAATAATGCCCCGGCAAATCATTTAATAAACTATTTGTTTGATTATTGATTTTTTCAGTACCACTAATTGTTACATTACTGTAAATCGAAGAATATGAGTATAATTTAATTTGGTTTACATCTTCTTCATCTTTGGAATATATATCGTATAAATCTAAATAACATTGTTCAAAATATAAACTTGACCATATTTGTTTTATTTTCACAAAATATTTAGATAAAGCCAACTTGATGAGAAGAAGTAAAAAAATGACACATGCAGTGAATAATTTGTTTTAAATACAAAAAATCGTTTTATTATCTTTGTAAATAAAAACAATTACACGACCGAAAAATAAATGTTGTTATTTTTTTCGGACTCGTTTGTGTTTGGATAAATTAAAATTTTGAAATCATTTACTGTTTATAATTACATATTTTATTGTAAAACTACACCATTTGTTTGTTAACACATTTTTATGATTTATTTATATTTTTATCTATGATAACAACGCGTTAACCCTTCCGGTACCAAAAATTTCCAAAAAATGTAAACTTATTTATATCTTATTCATTTAGAGTGTATATTAGAAAGAAATAATGCAAAAAAAACTTTAAACTTTTAACAACCATGGGAAATACCAGGAAACAAAATTAATAGTAAAAAATAATTTAATTTACTACAAATTAATAGTAAATTTTGACCTAAAATCGTATTTTTGTTGAAAAAAGGTTCACTTTTTCTGTGAGGAAAACTTGACGACTTTTCCTGTTATTATTTTCTAGTTTATTTTTTTATATATCAAAAAAATGTGTATATTATAATAAACTATACTCAATAAGTCTTTTTAAAAAACAAGGTTTTAAAATAAGAAAACGTATCAAATAAAATTCTAATGAAAATTTTTATATTAAAAAACAAGGGATATGTCATACTTTGAAAATTCCAAAAGTAATTATTTTAATTTAGTTTATATTGTAAATGTTTTGATGTTTTGTAACTAACGTGTATAAATGTTGATATTTTATTGAATTTTAATATATGTAACAAACAATCAAATGTTATGATATTAGTTGTGCAACCACACTGATGGTTAGCGTTTTCACTATATAACCTTTTGTTGAGAATCATATATATATGAGATATATTTACAATTTTTTTCTGTTAACTATTGTTTTAAAAAAATAGTTTTCATTACACAAAATAAACCAAATGTATATGAATTACATTAGTAATTTTTCACGTTTTTTTTAAAAACCTTTACATAAATAACTTTACATTATAATAAAATATATGTTATAACTAATTTGTATGACACAACTGTGTTAGACTTTCAATTTATATAATATACAAAAAATAAAACATGCAAACTTTTTATATATTAAAAATGTTACATCAAACCAGAACTGAAAACTATAATATTAAAAGTTTTAATGTTTTATTTAGAATAACTTTTAGTTTAAGGATTTCAAGTTTATATTGATTTGTATGCGTGTTATAACAATCATATTTCTGGTATTGGAAGGGTTAAACGAAAAATATTTAATGGGGTTTTACTAAAAATTGGTTTAATACAAACTTTTTTCGTTCAGTTTATTTTTGATACGATAATTAGTGTTTTTAATTTTAACTTTATAAAGATTTAAAATAATGAAAAATATTTTTATTACAAACAATAGACGTATAAAAACAATTTTAAACAATAACAGTTTCAATGTTTAAATTATGTACTCAATTCATGTTTGACACCTAATGTAAAATATTTTGTTGAATGTAAATTTTAAAAAATGATAAATACCCTTATTTATTATTGTGTGTCTTTTAAAATAAAAACAACGAAAATCGAGTTAAATAAGCAAAACTAACAATGCTGCAACCATAGCCACAAATGCCATATTTGTCCCACTTGAGTATATGAAGTAAGTATCAATTTCCAATATGCATTTATCAACCGGTTTTGTAACGGTTTTTGATGGTTCTCCTTTACAATCTGGCACTTTGTCGTAGGTCAACACCAAAACACTGTCTGAAGTGGCTTCAGTTTTTATAGAAGATGTATCAGTCAATTTCACACAACCTTCTTTGAAATATTTTTCCATTGGAAAAGAATCTGCTAGTTGCAATTTACAATCACTTTTATCGGAATAATCAAGTGCCATTGCAGAATACAAAGGAAGTTCACTTTGAATTGTTAATCCTTTCCCAAAATCTTCAATTGATACTTCAGACCACTTTTTACAATCTTGTGATTCGTAAGCTTTGATGGTTGACCCCTCAATTTCAACTTTGTTGTAAAAATCATCTCCAGTGTAATAACATACACCCGATTTGTAAGCATAATTATCATCTTTATCTGGACCTATGACATATTTTGACAATGAATAAGATAATAAGAAATAAACAACGAACATACGATTGTTTATAAAGTTTGAAAGTTCTTGATATAAGGATAATTTGACTTCTTTATGAGAATAATTTTTAGACAATTTGTGAGCCTTTTGTCAAAATACTTTTAATAAATTATGTTTATCTTAATTGATAATAATAAGAACTTTTTATTTTTTTCAACAAATTGATTTGGCAATATTTAAATAGAAGTTAATAAATTCAAAAACTTGTAAATTATAACATGTATCTAAAAATATTTTTTTTGTCAAATAAACGATTTTAAAAAGTAATTTCCAATGTCGTTAAACATGTTATTTATTTTGATATGTCAAAGCTGCTTTAAAATTTTAAATATATTATTTATAAAAATTGAATAATAACAT